AGCCATGAAATGATTCCTCTAGGTAGACAGGTCATTTTAATCCATTTTCTCCTCTTGCCCTGAAAATTAGTTTAAAAAGTAATGTGAAAAGAAATGCCACCCAACCTGCATTAATTTCCCTACATTTTCCTCTGCTTATTGATTACACCTCAACATCAAAGCTAAAACTTGACAAAAATAGAAAAACAGAGACAGAGAGACAGATGAAGCTTGTTTCTCTACCCCAAACTGTGAGCACAACGCAGCTATTTATAGGAGTCCCTCAACTTCCCCAGGGAATACCAGACCAACATCCTCTAGGATTTCCTCAAAACTCCCAGTTCTTAGAATGTCAGAGTCAAAATTTACATTCTAAAGGTAACCACATAGAAAGTAAAGACTTTCTTATCTCAGAACCTATGTCAATGTATTTTCTCATTGGAAATATCACCAATTATACCTAAAAAATATTAAGAGTCTTCTGGCCTTGGATATATTTTAAACATAGAGTCTGACTGCCTAGAAATTGCTGGTGTCATCGATCCTTCTAAATATATTCTCTCCCCTCTCTCTCTCACTCGCGCGCGCACACACACACACACACACACACACACACACACACACACACACACCCCTCTCAACAACTGAGCAACGTCTTCTGAAACCAAATGCCAAGCACACTTAGATAAAGGTATTGCAATCCCTGGAGGAGGTACACTTCAATTACAAAGAAAAGCAAGACATAACTGCATCTTTATTTCAGAACAAATGCTGACCAAATGAGGAATGTCACTAAAGGTTTTCTTTCTTCACAAGACAGCCACTTTCTGCGGGTAACTTACCTGGGTTTTCCCGCAAAGGTTTCCCACATCTTTTCTCTAGGTAAAGTCTTCCGGCAGTCCTTCCTCTGCATACACTGGCAAGATTCCCTCAAGTTTTTTCTCATCACAGAACAACAAAAAAAAATAGCATCATGCTTCCCTGCATTAAAGCCTCAGGCTAATTGCCTTTGGCTCGCATAGTTTAAAATAGGATAGGAAATAGAAACACTCATATCCCTTGGTCACTGCAAAGAAAATATCCTATATCTGCATGGATTTAGATTATGAGAATCACCTGGAGGCTTTGTTGAACTGCAGCTCCTGCCTAAAGTCCTGCACAGGTGATTCTGATGCAAGTAGTCTTTAGGTTTTAGTTAAAAAGCACAGCTTCATAAACTTTACAATGCCTAAGAGTCACAGGAGGAGCAGAGTATCTTGTTAAAATGCAGATTCTGACTCAGTATGGCTCAGCTAGTCTAAACTTCACCTGGGTGGTCTCACAAGCCCCCCAGGTGATATGGATGTTCACAGACCATACCTTAAGTAACAAGGCTTTGAAAAACAGGATGGAAGTCCTTACTATAGAACATGTCTTACTCAGTCAGCAGCCACATCTGGGAGCTTGTTAGAAATACAGATTGTCAGGTTCTGCCCCAGAACTATTCATTAGAATTTACATTTTTTCAGGTGCTCAGATGATTTTTATGCACATTAGCTTGAGAAGCTGACATAGGAGAACTCCAGGGTCAAATTCACAAAGAAGTTGTTTTCTGTCAGAAAGGTCAGAGGCAGCAAAAAAATAAATGTATCCTTTTGATTCAAAGATCTTTGAAAACCACCTTAAAAGCAGGCCTATATTAGAGGAAAGAGAGTAACCAACCTATTTAGAAGCTACCTTCTTAAATCTCAACCCCCCTCTACCAAAGGAGACCATTTAGGACAAGAGTTTGATGTTGTTAGCTCCACAGCACTGAATATGAACAGCTATCATATGCCACCACCTGTCTCTGTTTTCGTTACTTCTCATGGTCATTATTAGGTCAACCAATTCGGGGACCTTGCTATACCCAATAAACAAGCAGTTTCAATAATAAAGACGAATTGAAAAAGCTTAGTATTCTTGGTGAAGCAAAGGCTCATGTTTGAACTTCTACTGCTCCTTATGAAGATTTGCGCTTTGCTTGATACTTAGGGAAATCTGGAAAAGGGAGACGTTACCACTTCCATAAACTCAGTACTTTGTAAAGTACGCAACACATGATCAGGATAATTTCATCGATGTTTATTGAAGATGTTTATTTCAAGATTTAAGACAGTAACTTGCTAAAAGAAACCATGCATCTAACCAGGTTGCCAGAAAGAGGAAAACAACCTTAAGGCAAAAAAAAAAAAGAAAGAAGACATTAAAACAAAAATATGTATAACCAAGGTCTGACAAACAGAATCTAGGATCTCAGGGAGCCTCCCAAAAGCCAATAGACTCAGAGAGATCCCATGTGCAAGCTCTTTATTTCCTTCGGTTCTATTTCCATGAGCACCTGTCAGAAGGAAACTGCTTGCTACAGACAGCTGCTTGCATTTGCTGATCAATAGATCAAGGAACAGTCAAAGGAGACAGGGACCATCTAGGAAGGGATGGCACTGGCATTGATGAATGCAGACAGGGCCAATGCAAATACTGCGTTCAATGAGCATTTTTGTGGGCCTAGCAATTTCTGAAAACTCTTTCCAAGTCATAGAATACACAGGGAGCATCTGGCTCCGTTTCTGGAAATACTTCTGACACTACTACCTCCTGCTCTTCAACCTATCCCATTCAAACTCAATTTGCTTCCTTTCTTCGTGTCAATTTTAATATTCTCCAGCTTTGCAAGTATTAGAGCTTTAAATTTGAGTCATCACAGTGGGCCCTTGATTGAGCTCCTACTATGTGCATTTCAAATGTGTTATTCAGTGATCACAACCAACTACTTATTGTTTCCAAATGAAATAACTAAAGCTCCAAGAAATGAAGAAACCTGCCCAAGGTCACCGAGTTGGCATATGAAAACTGCAGGATTCTATCCCTATGTCTTCCAAAACCTATGCTTTTCTGGCTAAATAATTCTGTCCCTTTTAGCTTTTGTTCTCTCATTGCTATCTTATCCATTCAGCCATTATATTCAGGGGTAGCTCTTACTTTCTAGAGTCAGTTAAGAATGAGTATCTAAGGCTCTCATTCTGACTTCACCTCCCCACTTGAGATCGGTTGTTACAGGCACCCTCCCACGTTAGATAGCCACAGCCTCAGTGCCTTTCAAATTGAATTTCTCTTGAAAGTTTCAAATGGATTTTGCCTTTCAAAATATATACACTAGCGCTTAGGAATGAAAGTCAAGTCCTTTGTCAACGTTCTTTTATGATCAGAAAAACATGGGCAAGTTCCAAAGGATGGTCACAATCATGTTTATAAGAAACATCTTTAGCCAGGCTCGGTGGCTCAGCCTGTAATCCCAGCGCTTTGGGAGGCTGAGGTGAGTGGATTGCCTAAGCCCACCACGGGTTCGAGACCCGCCCGGGCAACTTGGAGAGACCTCATCTCTACAATAAATTTTTTAAAAAATTAGCCAGGCGTGGTAGCACGCACCGGTAGTTCCAGCTACTTGGAAGGCTGAGGTGGAAGGATCACTGGAGCCCAGCAGGTCGAGGCTGCAGTGGCCGGGTATGGCCACTGCACTCCAGTTTGGGTGACAGAGTGAGACTCCAACTCAAAAGAAAAAAAAAAAGAAACATCTTTATATTGATTTATTTTGGAAACCATCTGACTTCCTCTGACCTATCATAGGTGTCTATTGGTCATTTTAATACTCTTGAGCCCTTTTGCCAAAACAGCGACTAGTAGAATATAGTTATCTCTTGGTATCATGGGGGATTAGTTCCAGAACCCTCTGTTGATACCAAAATCTACAAATGCTCAAGTCACTTATAAAATGACATCTTTTTATGTAACCTATGTACATCCTCCTTATATGTTAAATCATCTGTAGGTTACTTATATAATACCCAATACATTGTAAGTTATATAGTTGCTATATTATATCATTTTTATTTGTATTATTTTTATTGTTGTATTATCATGTTGGAGTTTTTTAAAGTATTTTTGGTGCTCAGTTGGTTGAAATCTCAGATGTGAAATCTGTAGATACAAAGGAAGTACCTACAGTATTTATTCAAGTATGGTTCACCCTGTTGCAGTAGATAGACACAAACTCTGAAAACAGAGAACCATGGGGAGTTCTACGTCAGAAGAGGTACATTGACAGAGGATTCCACTCACATTTAGAAAAAGCTCCCTTTATTTGGTCTCTCTGTGGAATACTGGTTTTTTAAATATATATTACAAAATCACAAAGGAGGGAAAGTTTTTGACAGAAAGCCAGCTGGGGGATAATCTGCCAGGTTCAGGTTCTACTGCCAACATCTCCAGATAATTCTTTTGGGAGAAGTAGGAGAGTCTTCCTGGTAATGAATGAATATTTTGGTTTGATGATTAATCACAATTATACTGAAAGACGTGCCTACATGTGACACTCCGAAACACCTTCCTTGCTTCTCCTAGCTACAAAGAAGCTCCCCCCCCATTGTTTTAAGTTGACTGAAGACCAGGAAATTGAGCCAAATCGTCAGACAAAACAGGTGTAATAATAAATTTTCTAAAAAGAACCCTGTGATCATCTGCTTGAATTTCAACATTGAGAAAAGGGTAGAACTTTTCTCCAAACCTTCAGTTTGAAAATATTGGTCTTTATACTCATCACCACTCATTCATACCTTGAGCACCTTCTTGATATTTTAGAGAATCTTTTTAAACTTAACTTCCTAACAATCATTCCTTCTGAAAGAAGAGTTTACTAAGTTCATTGATTCTCTTTTGGCAAGCTTGAGACTTCTGGATTTGGACAGATTAAACACAGTAAAGATTTCCTATACCAGTTCAGAGGACATTACCTGAAAATTCAGAAAGATTTTCTTAAACTGCAGGAAAAAAGAAGCAAGAGGAAGGAACAAAAGAAGGAAGGGAGAAAGGGAGGAAGGAAGGGAGGGAAGAGGGAAGGAGGGAAGGAGGGAAGGGAGAAGGGAGAGAGAAGAAGGTGGAGGGAGAGAAAAAGAGGAAATAAATCACATAGAATACATATTTCCAAAACCAAAAGGAAAAAACAATTCAACTAACATATAATAACCTTTATTCTGTAACAGAGACATAAATAATTTTATGAATTCATATAATCTATACAAAAGACAAAATAAAATCTTGCACTAAATTTAGATATGGGATATTTGACTTAAATATTAACTAAACAGATAAATATATACAATTCAAGGAGTTAAGGCAAAACCAGATAATACTTCAAATACAACACAAGGTTTGAAAAATAGGTATAATTAAAAACAAGAGTATCCCACCACCAGCTAATAAAGTGGCCATGTCTAAGGGAAAAAACACCCTCAGGTTTTTAATAAAGTGGTTATTATCAATCATGTTAATTAAAGTTGAGCAATAATGTATAAGATTTCCTTCGGAAGGACGCTGTTTTGCTGAGGTTTAGGGATTGAGTATTTAGAATTCGGGTAAGCAACTTTTTCCTTGTCAGATTTATGATCTATTCTTCCTATTAGAAAATATAATTTGGAAAATATGACTCTTTCACATATATAATTAAAATACAACTATGAAGAATTCTTTTTTTTTTTTTTTGATGATCTCATAGTCAAGGTAAATTTGTGGGCAAGCCATTCATTACCTTATTTGTAGGTAAAACACAATGCCAGTCACTGAAAAACAATTCCCAGTTATCTTAACATAACAAAACAAACTAATTCCAAAGGAATCAAAACAAGTGTAATCAATATATCAACACAGTATACAGTTCTTTGGCAGTATCACACTAACCGTTGACTGAAGTTGAAATTGTAGAGTTTCCTAATTCTTAGAACAGGTTGCCAGTCTTTCAAAAATAAATAAAATTCCACATCTGCAATGAATTCAGTAATCCCAGGAAAATAAATTCAGAATAAACCTTTCAGATAGCTTTTGACTGTTACATATAAGCATAGATAGGCATTATCTGCTTTGAGTCTCAATCCAAATATACTGAAACACACACACACAAATAATCTGTGAAACTTTGTATTGGTTCAGATAGGTCTAGCATCCTTAAAGAGAATCCATATTCACCCACGAGAAACCAATAAGAGACAGCAATCCAATGATGAAAAAATGATCTTCTGATAACTCAGTGGTGGGCCGCCCCTCACCTGGATAAACATCATGGAGAAATCAAATTCTATAGGGGGAACACCAGAAAGCCAGAGAACGTGGAATACTGCCAGCCTCCAACCAAATTACCTTTCTCCAGTTTTAGGTAAACCTTATCCTCTTTATCTAAGTAGAGTAGGACTCCATTAGTAGCGGCTTCACGAGTAACGTCTTTGTCTCCCGCAAAGGCAGATATTACTGGTTTTCCATTTAACATCAGGTTAACCTAGAAGAGGGAAAAAAAGATCACTGAAAAGCTCCCTTTAAAGTCAAAACATCTACCAAAGAATAATAAATAATGTCTAAGATGGCAGACCTGACAAAATACCTGGTGTTCAGGAAATAAGTTCCTTTTCTTTCAAATTAGTCAATTGTGGGGATTATACTTTGTGTGCTGAGCTGATTTTTAAGACTGTTTTCTCATAGGAATTTCCTTAAATTCCTTAATAGAATACCATCCGTAGAAAGCAAGTTAGCCACGTGAAAACTGGCTTCTCCTCAGCACATAAATTAAACTTCCTGCTTTATTTGCCTCTTCCATCCAACAGCAATCTTTCGGTAATGAAGCAAGTGTGTGGCTTCCCAGTGTATTTGTGCAGAGACCCAGTGCCTGATTAACCCAGATACAGTCAGATTCTACCAATGTTCTTGACAGTTTCTGCACAACTGTAGCACCATTAGTGCTGAAAAGCATTTGAAATAATGAATTTTGTGTGTGTGTGTGTTTTCTTTCTGTTCTCCCTGATAAAGAAAGTATATTTAAAACAATAACCACTACTGCCACTAGAAATTTGAATGATGGATAATTAGCAAAGAATCAACTCAAAATTGTCTTAACTTTTTCCATATTACAATTTTGATTACACTGTGTCAAACATTACACACATTGCGAAATATTAAGGCTTGGGAAAAGCTTTTCCATGGAAGTAAGTTTGTTTACTTGAGTTAAAAGGAATATTGCATAAATTACTTGTTTACTTGTTTATTTGAGTTAAAAGGAATGTTGCATAAATTTAGCCTGAGGTTGATCCATTTGTCTACCCACTAGGATATATGAAAGTGATAGATGAGTTATCAATTATTCGCATAGATGTAGTATGTCATATATATACTAAGCATGGGATAAAAAGTTATCCCAGAATTCCATAGACATGTATTGATGCCATTTGGTATTAGTGCACTCGAATTTTGCAGGAAGTTGCTCTAGTTCCATTGTTGTCTTTGAGTGCAAGATGTAGCCCTTTATCTTAGAAAGCACAACATGGAATACGTTGTTAGTTACAAAATTGGAATTGCTAAGAATTCACTAGCATCAGAGTAACTGAGAATAAAACTGAAAAATAAGTATAGCACACCCTTTTTTAAAAGTATATTGATTAGTTGTTCCTTCATAGATTTATTCTTAATGGCTAACTATATCTTATCATTTTAAAAAATCATAGCAAATTTTTTTTTGTGTTCAGCTTGTACTTGTAAGGCTCTGCTAGTTTTACAAGTTTTTTTCTTACAAGTTCAAATAATTGTTATACATGAAATTATCTTATAAAGAGAGTAGTGTCACTGAATTTTTACTAAGCCATGCTTTTAATTGTTTGGTTGTTATTAAGTTTATAACTTCAATTGTTTATTTTTCTATATGCTTTTTGTCACATCCCTTAATAGATAGTATACAGAAAAAAATTGGAAATTAAGTGTTTTAAAAATAAACAATAAAGATGGTTGTTTATTTTTACAATAAAAATGCAACTTTGGAAAAATGCTTAAATACATAACCCACTAAAGATAAACACAGTTGGTTGAGGATAGAGATGAAACAGGTCAAAACACATACCTGGATTGTTTGGCTCTGGTAGACTTTAATTACATGAAAACTGAAACTGTAAATTCCTTTTCTTGGTGCTACAAAGACAGACTCCAATGTGAAAAAATTACCCACATTTACTAGGATCTACAAATAAAAATAATAAATAACAGTAAATTATTAGAATATTTTCTTCTGTAAAATAAGTTTTCTTCCTTCCTCCCTTCCTTTTTTTTTTTCGCCTTCCTTCTTTCCTTCTTGCCAACTAGCTTAAGAAACCATAGAGAATAAAACATCTAGTTCTATTTCTTTCCTCTTAACTGATTTGGAAAATGGACTCATATACTGGAAGGTTCTTATGTCTTTTAAATGGTATAAGAAAAAATAAACCAACTACTTTGTATTCATGTCTCAATTTCCAGCAAGGTTCAATGGCCCTGGAAACATCTTAGTAACATTTGAGGACTTATAAATATTAGCTTTACCTTGAGAGTCAGATAAAAGGCATCAGCCATGTGTTTACATTCCCACCTTCTGCAAGCCTCTACAATGTCCAGAGGTGTCATTTCCAAGCCAGCCAATCGGCATCCATGAGCTCTCTGCAGTCATCCCTGGACACATCACAGAGGCATGGGCACTCCCTCCACCATGTGACATAATCCTTGACACCAAACAGTTGGTGCACAAAGTGATCTGAATGCCTGGCCCTTCTCTGAGTCTTTGCCAGCTCTCTCCTAAGATCCACGGCCATTTTTTTTTCATTCCTGTGACAACTAGGCCTTAATTATAATTTGGCAATGAGTCAGCCCTTGCAGGCTGCCCAAGAGCAAATTATGAAAAAGGACAGACTATGACATAGGTGGCCTTTCCTTGTTTTTCCCAGGGTTATCCATTATCTTCCTATCAATCAACTGTACTTTATTTAAAGTTCAAGGGTCAAAAGTGAAATTAGGAACTATTTTCAAAGAAAACAACAATACAGTTTATAGTCTAAGATGTTCGGCCTGGTTCTATTCAATAAGTGACCTCCAGTGCTAAATTTGCAATATCACATAGGTAAGTCCCTTTCTATGAGAGAATGTGAAGAGAGGAGGAGGAGGACAAAATAACTAGGGCTTCTCCCATTTATCTCCAAGAAATAAATCTATAAGTGGCATTTTTTTAAAAATCAGACGTTTCTAAAAAATACATGTCACATACATCAATGGCAGTCTGCTACTGTTTCTTTTAAACACTGAGTTATTGCCAATATTAACACATCCGCAAGCCTCTTGCATCATTCCCTAAAAAGACATACTATTATCTCTGAGCAGCACCCCAGAATATAGCAACAGTCAGGTAGGTGTATCAAGTTCAACACTTGACCTAAAATACATATATGTGTATCATTTTATTCTGAGATTTCACCTTCTCCCAAGTAAGCAGCAGACTTCTTCTCTCTGACCTGATGATAGATGGTCTTTCAACAAGTAACCAGCTGTGCAATAATCCCTGACAGAGGCTTTACACAGATTTTTTTTCAAGCACATTTAAAAATAATTTGAGGTGCTTAGTGGGGACTTCCTGATTCAGATACAAGTAGCATAATCCACTATCAAGAATGGAAAGGACTGATTAGTGTGTTTGCTACAGATAAAGCTGGATGTTGACTCTACATTGTAACTTGAGCATCTAGGCATATCAAGATTTATTACCAAACGTGCCTTGTCTCTAAGATGCATGGCTCCCTGAACAGAAGAACAACCCCTTTCCTCTTCTAATTGACAGAAAGGTCAGTGAGAAGAACACCTCGTACAGACGACAGTCCAATATCCACAGTATCCCAACATTTAATTAATACATTAAAATACAAACCTGGGATGGTGCTAGACTTTATTTCCATCAAGATGGAAAATACTGCACCAAAACCTCAAACGGGGCTAGTTAATTCTTTTAAAATTATGGCTATCAAATAGTAAACCCCCTGAGAGGCATTGTCTTGTCTTCTGCCAGCTAGGAAGTGCATTACTTAGAAAAAATTAAGTAAAGAATACAGATGTCACCTCATGCCTTCCGTGGCACGTCCAGCAACGCTGCTCCACCTGTGCTCCTGTGCACATCAAGGCTTTACACAAAACTGAGAACTGTGAATTTGGAATTTATAAAGACTCTGGGTACTGTTGATGTTAAAGTTAAACCTCCGGAGTCAGTTTTCTTCTTTAAGACCCCTTGCTAAAGGTAAGTTGATATCCTGGAATATCTGTGGCCAAACCCCTGAGTACCGGAACTCTCAACAGAAGCCACAGCTGTCCTCAGTCCTCCCGCGTCCCCTACTCTCAATCTCAAAGTGTCTTTCCTCAGCAATTTGCAATTCTCGGAAAGGAAAGGGGCCCGGGAAGGGAGAGTCAGCTTCCCAGCTCTTCCCTGCGGGAGCTCAGCACAGTTGCCAAATTCCTTTTCCTCCCCTCCTCCGCAACTTTTCTCTAAGTACGGAGAAGGGCTTCCTGCCTGCTTCAAGGCGGCGGCGGCGGCGGCGCCGGCAACGCGTGTGGGGACCCTGGCGGACGAACTGGAGGGCGATCTGACTCCCAGCCCCTGCCCCTGCCCTCTGCGGCCACCAGCCACATCTCTGCCGAGAGTGGAGGCCCAGAACTCTCTACGGGGAGAATACTCTCTACCTGGGAGAAACAGATCAAACATTCATCCTGCGTCCGTGAAGGCACCTCGGGAACAGCCTCGGCGGCACCAGAAGAGTCTGAGCCAAGAGGCCGCGCTCTGGCCGGGAGATCGTGCTGTCTAGGGACCGGATCCCTTCAGCTCCTGCCGACCTGTTGCTGTGAAACTTGTCCTGAGCTCTCCCTGCCAGCTTCTGCGCTCCCAAGCCTCTCCCCACACCGCCCCAGCAGCCGGGAGGGAACGGGGGCCGAGGTTGGGAATTGCGGGGGAGACGTTAGAAGTTTCAGATCCAGACATCTCTGGGAAGGCGGGCGCTTAAATGATCCCCCCACCGACACACACACACACACACACACACACACACACACACACACACACCCCTCATATCCCAGTCAGACCAGCTCAACCTGAGCTGGCAGCCTCGCTCTGGGTGCCTGGAGACTGCCCGCCCCCTCGGTCCTCGCATCCCTTCGGGTCTGACCTGGTCGAAGTAAATGATGCGCGTCTTGTTGCTCATCTCGGACGGCTCGTGGTTGGTGCTCCGCACCGCCGAGAAGGCGACCTTGGAGTTGGCCGCCCGGACCGATATCCCCAGGGGGGAGGAAGAGGATCCCTTGGAGTCTGTGGCCGGGTTCGAGTCGCACACCACCAGACACTTGCCCTCCAGCACGATGGGCTCCGTGTCGTTCTGCGCCCAGACGCGCAGCCCCGGCAGCGTGAGGACCAGCAGGACGGCAGGCACCGTAGCCAGCGCCCGGCGCGCGGGGCCCATGGTGAGCCGCGTGGGCAGCCGCAGGGGCTGGCGCTTCTGCTCGCCCGCGTCGCCTCCTACCCCGGGATCCCGGAGCTCCGGAAGATGCAAGTGGCTAGGTGGACAGCGCGGGAGAAACGGCGGCGGCGGCGGCGCGCGCACTTCCACCGATTCTGTGGTCTGAAGTCAAAGTCTCCCCTCGAGCTCTAGCGCTGGCTCTGTTACCTTTGTCCTTTAAGGAGCTCATGCAGAACCTCCTAGCCTACCCTCCTCCGCCCAAGCATCAGCCCTGCTTGGGGCCCCTGCACCCACTCTTGTTCCTAGACATCTAAAAGTCACCAAACCCTCACATTCACACCTCAAAGGAACATGTATTAATCATTCCTCAACCCAAACCCAAATACCACCAGGTAAACCACGGAGCGAGGAAAACAGAGAAGCCACAGGGGCGGCGGGTGCCAAGCGGTGCGGGTGTCGGTCCTGTGCGAGTCTGGCTTGCGTCAAGGACGCGTTACAGAGGCAGAAGCTGTTTCCCGGACTGAGAAGAAAGCGAGGTTGTGTCCACGGCCGGGACGCCAGCGACTCCCACTTTCACTTGGTCAAATATTCCCTGAAACCCGTTGTCACTCAGAGGTAGAGAGGTAGACGGCGACTAGCCAGGTGCCCAGCACCGAAAGCGCGAATTCGCAGGATCAGCTCCAGGGCGACGGGCGCAGGGTGTGGGCGGCTGGTGCGGCGGGTCCTCTCCTGCCTCGCCTCGCGCCCCGGGTTCCTGCGCACAACTTTCTCTCTCCTCGCGCAGACCGGAGAGCGCGAAGCGGGCACACGCGCGCTATTTATAGGACAGCAGCGTCCGGCTGAGGCTGGCTTATTGCTCAACCCGCGGGCTCCGGGGAAAGAGGGAGAAGGCGTCTGGTGACCCCATCCTAGCAGCTTCCTCCTGACGTTCAACGCGTCCTGGAGCCAGCGGGGCGCACAGCACTGCTGATTGGCAAGGTCCGAGGCCACTCAACCCACCGAGAGCGTGCGGCGTGTGTGCCCAGAGGGCCTACAGCCCTGCGCTGGCCCCAGCTCGCCGCTCGCCCTTCCCCCCAATACCCGGTCCCGGCCCGCGGAGGGGGCTGCGTCTCCGCTCGCCCCTCCCCGGCGCGGGACTCTGCCGCCGAGCACCCTCCGAGCGGAGCGCAGCGCTGCCAGACCCGGGTCCGCGATGGATGTGCCGCGGCGGCCCCGCGCGGTGCGCTGCCGGGAGCTTGGGACCTGCCGGCGTCCCAACCGCGCTTGGTCGCGAGCCCGCCCCGCAGAGCCCTGGGGCCTGGCGAGCTCAGGGAAGCCTCAGGGCGGACCCGAGCCAGTGGGGGAGGCTGGGAGGAGGTGTCTGATTCCTTCCTTCCGCTCCGGGAAGCGGAGCCTCTGAAGCCGCAGGGGCGCGCCTTCCCACCCACACCGCGAATCCTCTCCAGGAAAGGCAAAAAAGAGTAAGAGAGGGAGTTAACTGAGCAAGAATAAGTCCTCCGGAACCGTGCCACCTAAAAAATGTAAAGCTAGCCCCGCTCCTAAGAACACTGCATCTTTCTCCCCTTTTGGCGTGCCCCATCTCCGTGCCACCCCAGTGCCATCTTGGACTCTGATTGGCAAGAGTTATCGTCCTCTTCCGCAGCCATCGGGGGAAGGTAGGGAGAGTCTCTGTCTGTGACCTGCTGCGTGAACTTGGTCAAGGCACTTGCCCTCTCTGAGAAGGCTGTACTCGCCAACTACTTTCCGGGTTCTGTAATGCTTTGGGGCCATGGCACTCCCTTCCCGAATTCCTCCTAGACTTCCAGTTGCCCGAAAGCAGGCGCCACATCTTTGACCAAAACAGCATCTCTTTCCACCATTTGAAACTCCTAGAATTGTACTGACTAATTATTAACTGAAAGGATGTTTGTTGAGGGATGTCCTTGAGATGGATGGGTCCCCACTCCTTCCTAAGTGAAGGACATCCTCATTAGCGTGGTGTTCGAGCCCTCCACACAGAAGCTAGACTTCGAGTCTCCAGTCTTGTCTCCTGGTGAGCTCCTTCAGGAGGGCCAGGCATTGAGCCATGAGCATTACACTGCGGTTCCAACTGTTAACATTGGAAATACTCGCACTAATTGTCAATTCCCACGCCCTCACCTCCCAATAATCTCAAAACTAAAGAGTGGATATTTGATGCCACAGGGGCCTCCAGCAAGGCCAGTATCAATTCTTTCAAAATATATACATATATTATTTCACTTGAGGGAAGGGGTCTCACTTCGTTGCTCAGGCTGGATTGGAACTCCTGGGCTCTAGCAATCCTCCCACCTGTGCCTCCCCAGTAACTGAGACTTATAGATCAGTATCAGGTACTGATGTCATGTTATTTGTTACAGTGTTGAATGACACTAATCTAAACTACAGCCAAACAGGATAAACTGGTGCCTTCTGAAGGTGGCCTCCATTCACCCAACTTTGATGCCCCACCAAGGCTCAGTGAAACTTTTCACCTGATCCTTCTCTGCACTTCGTAACTCTCTTCCCTCAACCTCCTTTTTTTCCTTACCACTGGCTGCCTGGACAACAGCAACATTTTCTTCTGATCTAATACTGTTTTGCGGAGGCAGGTGCTGAGTAGAATTTAGTTCCTTTTTTTTTTTTTTTTTCTATAGGGGCAAGCACTCTGCCTTCCTTGTCCCAGACAACTGTTCAGTAACTAAGACTTGGGCTATTCAACTTCAAGCTGAGAGAGTTTGAGGAAAAAAGCTCTGTTGACTACAGAATTGTTGAATAGAAAATGAGCTGTCTCCCCCACCAATTCCAACCTTCAGGCACTTCCTTACCAAAAAAAACCCAGATTTAAAGAAACTTCTTCCTTCACCTCATTTTTCCCTCACAGTACCAAAATCTAGCAAAGTCACCACAGTAGAGACTCAATAATTGATTGAGGGATGACTGAATGCCTCCAGATACAATGTAATTTATCATTCACCTTATAGTATAAGCTAGCTTAAATGAGTCTCAGTAAAATTAAAATTCAAATCCTCCTGAATAATTGGAAGTAAAAGTCTTGATTCCTTACTACAGAATATTCTACCATTCAAGGTGTTCTGAAGATGCAGAACATGACATTTTCTGTGGATTTCTGCTAAGAGGAGTTACTGATAATGTGAATCAAAGGGTCCTGTTCCTTTTCCCCACAACATTGATTGAACAGAGATAGCCCCTGGGTCCTAGGGCTGTCAATACATTTGATACCAGAAGTCCATGACTTGTATGGTCCAACCTGGTCAGATGAATTGAGGCTGCCAGATTTTCTCTCTCTGGAATCAGAGACACCAAGATGACTTTCAGTAAGTACCAGGTGTTGCAGAGGCAAGGTCTGTAGTCTCCCAAAATGAACAGGGTCATTTAAATGTCTCCTGCAAGCTGAGACAGAAGAAGGTGCTGGAAGAAACCAGAGGACTGATCACACTTGTAGACAAAAGTTAATTCTGGAGACCGAGCACTTCGGGGGTGGGGGGAGTGAATGGTGAATCCACAGTTCTGAAAACCTACTTACAAGCAATCCAGCAACACTTTCTCCAAACTTTGGGTTTCTTGGGATCCTCCTGAATCCTTGCAATAAAGCCCATTTCACTTGCACCAATTTTAATAACGTGCTGCCTCTTGTCATCCAGAATCCTGACTGGAACACTGTCCTAGAAATCATACCACAAATCGCCATGAGTCTCCTGCCAAAAGGTTCTAACAAAACCAATTTCCTGCCTATGGAAAATGCTTTCCCAACATTTTGGGAAAGGAGACAGCACCTGCTCCTTACCCCCTGTTCCAGCTCCAGGAACCTCAGGAGAAAAGAAACAGGACCAAGTCCAAGTATCTCTCCACAGCACAGGTTTCCTTTTTCTTTTTCCTTTATTTTTCCAGTTGAAAATGTACTAGTAGAAGACCTAGCTGTGATCCAAATACTTCTCTTTTTTGAGATTCCTAGATTGTATTTCATGCTCAGGATTTCTTTTCTTTTCTTTTTTATTTTTTCCCAGACCTTTAGAGATGAGGCAAGAATGCATTTCATTTCTCTGCAGTTCGTCTCAACTTTAAAGTAAATTAGAATCTAAACTGGCCTTGCATAGGAAAGCAATACTTCTGAGGTCAGTAAATTGAATGACTGCTTGTCCAACCATCCCTTAGAGAAACCAAGTTTCAAGCAAGCCCAAGACATTAAGGATCCATGAGCAATTTTCTGATTCTGAAGAAAATGTCTCTAAGAAGGTAAAGACCGACACAGAAGGTATTCGGTTCGAAGGGCCTTGCTGTGCTTGAATGAAAGAAGACTCCACGCATCACGTAGCAGAGACAGCCGCAGGTCAGCCGTGCAGAAGGTGGAAAATCAAGAGCAAGGGAACAGTGAGACTTGCATCATACACAGACAAAGGTCCACTGAGTCGCTTAATTACCCTTTGCTCTCCATAATGATGGTTATCAACCCAGGCAAATGCTCTTTTTTGAGGGAGAGGAAGTAGTTTAAGAAGAAAAAAAATCTCTGAACAACCAGTAGGTGTGTACTTACATACTCTGGAAAGTTCCAGAACCTTGTTGAGTAAATCTTCATGGCTTCTTCTGGAGACAACCAAATGACAGATGTGTTTTGTGTGAAGATGGTATTGTAGAAAAAACTAGATAGATGATTTTTAATACCTTTTAAAATTGGTTTTAGAATTTGAAAATTCTTTGACGTAGTTCTTCTACATACAAGAAGGAATCCCCCCCAAAAAATGGAATTTATTTACAAAACGTTGTGTATTTATCCTTGCGTGTTTAAACTTCAACCACCTTCAAAGTACTCTCCTTTTGATACAATAAACCTATTGAGATACTTTTTCCACTGCTCAAAACAGTTTTTGAAGTTGTCAATTTTGATGCCTTTTAATGTTTCACCGTTTTTTGCCTCACCTCTTCCATATTGGCAAAACATTTCCCTTTGAGGACTTTTTTCATCTAGGAAAACAAGAAAGTCACTTGGGGTAAGATCAGGTGAATAGGGAGGATAGGGCATGCGGGTTATGCTGTTTTTGATCAAAAACTGCTGAACACTCAGTGCAGTATGGGTAGGTGTGCTCACAAATCATCCATCATGAAATGGGCAAACATGTTGAAAGAATCTCCACAAAAAAAAAAATAACTGAAACCAAACTCAGCCTCTCACAGTACTAGCTGGTACACTGATGCTGATGGGTTCCTAGAACACTTACCTAGTGGGGAAAGCTTGTCCTAAAGGCTCCCCCACCCAAAAAAATCATTCTGGATGTTTTGGGGAGGTCCTCCCTCACAGTTTCTTCCAAGCACCACATTGACCAAAAGGTACCCATCTAAGACATCAGGGAATAGTGAGACTTCTGGATCAAGGTTGCACACAGAATTTGATGTCCCCTTTTGGCCTTCTCATAATACCTTGTGCTTGTGCCCATCATATTTATCAATATTTTTTAAAGTCATTGATTTATTTGTCATGTTTTCTATGGATTATTAACTCTTAGGGAGCACTGAATTTAGCAGAGAGTTGGTATACATAAATTAATTAAAGTTTGCTGAATTATGTAATTTATCATTGCTCTTATTTCTTATGGGGAAAACGATATAATCTATGATATAACTATGGTAGAAAAAGTAAAATTATTTCAGAAATTTGGTGGGGCTTGAAATATTTAGTTTATCCTTAGTTACTAATAATGGAAGCCCAATGAAACACAAGGGGATCTATCGGAAGGACCACATCTCGCAGAGTCCAAGGGCAGAGTTGAACCTTGAGATTGTAGTGAAATACAATCTTGGAGATAGCCTAAACTATTGTCTCTGCTTGTTTGTCTGTCTGACTCCCTCTCTGGTGTGTGTGTGTGTGTGTGTGTGTG